TTGTGCTAATTTAGATTTGAAAACTGGTTTTAAATCGGAATCAATGGGCGTATCAACGGTATCTTAGATCGACCTCGAATACTGGGGGGGCATCACCCTCGGGTTAAGGTTATTAGCAAAGAAAGAAGGAAACTTTGTACTTGAACAACTTAGGCTCGGATGTTAGGATTTATTATAAGGGCCAAGCAGTCAAATGAACCATGCCCGCGCATGCCACCTTAGCCATAATACAAGCTTTTACACACTTTCGATCATGTGCTTTACACATAGAAATGAAAGAAAGTTTCCACCTTGCTATTATGTATTTTTGGCTATTCAAACATAGAGCCTAAGGGCTATCCCTATTTGAGGACCATCACGCCTAAGGGCTACCCCTATTTTGAGACTATCGAGCCTAAGGTTTACCCTTATTCAGGGACTATCAAGCCTAAGGGCTACCTCTAATCGGGGACTATCGAGCCCAAGGGCTATCCCTACTCGGGGACTGCCGTCCAAAATAAGTTTGGGCTACCAAACCCTAGAGGTATAAAACCTATTAGGTAGTGCCTAAACATGAAAGGCTACGACCACACCAAAACAATTACTCGGAGACGTCCGAAGCCCGTAATCAGAACATAAGGCCTTTATAAAAATTCAAAACCCGCTAAAAGGTTACTCTCGGCAAAAGCATCATCTAAAATTACTTAAGCATCTTGGGAAAATTGCTGGTCACACCGAGTTTTCAAGGTCTCGAGCAAATAAAGTTGCATCGAAGTCGGGCTCTGTTTGGACATATGAAAAATGAACGACTTATTACTACATTTGATTCTATGCTAAAGCATTAGAAATATTTGCAAGAATAAACATTATGAAAAGATACTAAAAAAGTAGAGACTTAAAATTGCCAGAAAGGGAAATTTTATATATTACGAAATGTATTTACAAAGGCCCAACAAAAACGGCCTCAAATAAACAAAAACTATACATAATACAAAAACAAAAAAAAGTTCTAAGGCATTCATGGGTGATCTTCAGCGGGGCCCGACTCGTCGCCAAAACCATCGGAGCCTTCGGACCCCAGAACCCTCGAAGCCTTCGACACCTTCAAGCTCGGAAAGTTTCTTCGCCTCGGCCTCAAGCTTTATTACTTCCTCGATCTCGGCCGATAGGTCGAAGCCTCGAGCATGGATTTATTCAAGGGTCTCTCTTTAAGACAGTCGCCTCATATATTCGGCATTGGTCTTCAGGCGGGCCTCGACTGCTTCGACATCGTCCTTGTATTGGGCCACCATCTACTCAGCATCGGCAAAGGTTGCCTCCAGCTTGGACTTCATTGCCTCGTGCTCTCTACCAAGGGTTTCCCATTCTGCGACAACCGAGCTCAGCTATGCTCGGAGATCTTCATTCAGCTGAGCCCGCTTGTTAGCTTTTTCCTTCGCCATCCAAAGTTGAACCTCTACCAATGTTAGCTTTGCCCAGGCGGTTTTCTTTTCCGAAGCCAGCAGATCCATCTTGCTCTTCCACCCATCGACCATGGCTTTTATCTCATTCATGTCCTTTAGGAGTTGGTCGACCTGGTCGATCTTCTGTTGGACCTGCGAGGTTTTGTCGTTATCCACTATGACTAGTTCCTCGTTTCTAACTTCAAAGATTGTTACCTTTTCGACCAAGTCGGCATGTTCCCTCCTCAGGGTTGATGCTTTCTTCTGAACCCTATCCAGCTCGACCTGAAGGTCCTTGATGGCTTGTTGCTCGTTGAGGAGCTTATACATATCCCTTTTTTGAGCCTGCTCTTTGACCTGAAGCTTAAGGTGATTGACCTCAACACCTTACTGGAAGAAGCTTTCATGATGAAGTACCGAGGCTTGCAAAACAATGAAAGTCATGAGAGATATCCAAACCTAAGTAAAAGTCAAAAAGAAGTAATGATGCCTTATCCATTTCAGCGCCTGCTACACCTCATTGAAAAGACACGGGAGCAAATAGAACTCGGGCATCCTCCGGGACAGTAAGGATAACCGATCTCTTGCGACCGTGGTCCATACTCATATAGGGAAACTGATTAATCAGTTTTGGGCTCGAACTCGGCCCACCAGCTTCCAAAGATGTATCCTTCTCGGGATTTCCAAGTCGCCCAGCCCGAAAAAATCTTCCAAACTAGATGAGTCCACACCATCAAAGAAAGAATAAAAGGGATTGTCCGCGCCATGAACCCCTTCATTGGGCTTCTCTTTTCCTAATTGGGCCTACTCAAGCATGGACTCGATGTAGGATGGCATCCCTATAATTTCTATTATACCAGGCGCTTCCTTCGAAGCAGATCTGGCATCCCGAGGGGTCCCACCCCCGTCTTTATATCGACCTCTCGAATCTGAGGGAGGTCGGTCCCACGAGTCTCCCCCTTGGATTCCGCCTTCTCCCCGAGAGGGATTGATCCAAGGGTGATAAAAATGTCATCTTCTTCTGACTCATCCCTGAGCCGGAGAAGTGAATCGGAGTCTGGCACCGGGAGTTGGTGCTCTTCTAGGGCTTGTGAGCCACCCTCTTCTTTGGCTTCACCTTGGGACTCGGGGAGCTCGAAGGTTTTCTTTACTCCTCTTCTTTTCCCCCACGGCAGTCCCAGGCTGTCTCGTAATGGAGGGATCAACAAAAAAGGATACGTCCTCGTTCCCTTCCAAAGGCCTAAGCTTGGTGGTCTTAGGCAAACTTGTAAAAGAAAGAAAAAAGGTTAGTATGATGTGGGTTAAGGACACGATAATAGCTATTCAAAGGAGAACCTTACCATGATAAGGGGCCTCCCATCGGCCCTTCGAAAGCTTGCGCCATGAGCGCTCGAAGTATGACATCTGTTTGCAGATGCATTTGATCTACTCCTTAAGCCGGGGGACCGCATTTGGAACCCGGGAATTAGCTACACGACCACAAATATGAATGATGAGAAAGAAAATGGAGAAAAATCGACACTTCAGGGAGGGCTTCACTTACGAGATGCATTCCACTTCTCGGGGAATGGCATACACTTGGGGGGGATCAGATCTTTAGTGATCACCCCGAACGAAGTTCCCTTGCTAGCCTCGGTCTAGGTCTTCATCAATACTCAAAAAGGGGCTTTGTTGGCCCGACGAGTGAGCTTGATTAGTCCCCCTCGAAAAATTCGGGGACTGTATAGATGGAGAAAGTGGTCGATGGTGAACCGATGAGATTCAGTGTTATTCACAAAGTAACGGAGGAAGATCATGACCCTCCATAGAGACGAGTGGATTTGCCCGAGGCACACCTCGTACCTCTTGCAAAAATTCAAAACAACCGGGTCTACCAGGCCCAGTGTGTAGGGGTAAATGTAAATACTTAAATACCCCTCCACGTTGCTAGTAATAACATCCTCAGGCCTGAGGACTACTACGTCTTTGTGTTCCCATATACAGTCCTCTCGAACCGCGGGAAGGATGTCTTCGGTAACGAAGCATATATACCTCGATGCTCCTTCACCACGGTCCTGTTTAGATGAGGGCTTCTGGACCTTAAAGTCGTCCGCAATTGAACAACCCCTGGGAATAAACATCTTCAAGGGGGCTCGGGAGCCAGTTCGGTGGTAGTCGACTCGGTGGCAGCCACTTCGAGAGCAGCCCTCTCGAGAAAAACTATTTCGGGAGCGACCGCCTCAGTACTGGCAGCCGGTTGGAAAGATGAAGAGGCGACTTGCTGAGGGACTGACTTGGATGTTTTTACCATTACTATCTGAGAAAGTTTGAAGATCTAAAGAAAAAGTATAGACGTTTGAAGGGGCTAGTTTGAAAGCTGAAGAACAGAGTATGAAGATTCGAAAAAAATCCGGGTAAGAACCCAAGAACAACTATTAGAATTTGAAGATCAAGGATGAAGATATGAAGGTTTGAAGGAAGTTAGTGATAGCTAGAGAATTCAAAGGTAGAAGCTTGATCGGAAAGTGGAAAAAGAATAGGGATAAAAGCTTTTATAGGGGAAGCATGCGACGCTTCGCATTCGGAGGCAGCCAACCGATGGTTGACACGTGTCCGAAGTCAGAACAACTCTACTGATGGGATGTTTCGACTTCTTCGTCAATTCGGTAGTAATGTACGGAGGAAGGAACAGGAGAACATCAATTGTTTCTCATTATTTCGGCAAACCTGCTCTTTGAGAAACGAGGGGACTATCTGTATACGGGTAAACCGAGGCTAACGAGCACCCAAATTTCCCGGTAGGAAAAACGAAGCAAGGACGTAACTAAGGAACTGAAACCAGAGCTAGGATTCTCTCACATCAAGGCCCGAACAAAATACCTGCCCTCGGAACCATCGAGACCACACCCCCGGATTTGGTTCGTGTTCCAAGACCTCGGAAAGCATTACCGAACATCCGCACACGATTAACAATGGGCCGTGATATCCGTATCCAACCGGATATCACGGCGCGGATCACGACCCATATCGGCAACAGATCAGTGATTAGCGCAAAGGAAGATATTTACCTTTCTAGAATTGTACTTAGGGTAAAACTCCTCTGCTATATAAAGGGGGGGGGGGTTATTATTCAACGGACATGATAACACGCGTATCAAGACAATATACATTTGTTTTCTTTGCTCCTAAAAGTGATTCAAAGTCCTTAATTTTGCTCAGAGTTCATCATAAGTGTTTGGCTTTGAAACGAAGGCAGGTTTGTTAAGCACATAACAGAGCATGGACTCAATACTTCTATTGGTTTAACTGGTTATTTTATCTTTAATTTGCTCATCTAACTTTATTAATCACTTATATTGAATTAGTCCACATATCCATTTATTTTTAAGGTAAACACTTTTAACAGAGAGAGAGAGAGTATGAACATCAGAACATGCATATTGATCACCGTAAATAATAAGACTTGTAGTACTGTTGGACAATTGCAGTGATTGCTTGCTCAACTGTTAGTCTCTCCAATTGCAGTCATTTTCAACCAAGTTATATTTGTTCCTAGGTTTAAGTATAAGGCATACCACAGTGTCTTAACAAAACATAAGATATCAAATGAAGATGTTATTCGTACTTATAACTCATTTGCCGACATTACTGGACTTTTCTTTTTTCTTTCAAAATTGTGCAACTAAGTGCTACTACAAAATAGAGCACTGTGGGTTGGGTTCTTCCCTCCGCGTCACATGAACGACTGGTGTTATTCCCTGACAGACAGCACAGACTGGGGGCATAATTGGAGGGGGAGGAGCATACATCTGGGCCTGGGGTTTGGGCTTCTGCTCAGGCTTCTTCTCTTCGGGCATTTTCTGTCCATCTGGTTTTGGAGGAGCTGGTGGAGGCCCAATACTCACCACCTCTGCAAATTTCCCAGCTTTCCTCGATCTCACAATGACCTCGTATGGATCAGCATCACCCGTTACACTCAAAGTCCCCTTTGTTCCATCAATTTCAATTTTTTCCACACCTTCAATTTCAAATTGTAAAGTTTCAATTTCATATATTACATCCAAGTAGCCGTAGGATGAGATCTGGTAAAGTTAAATTAATCCGGTAATTCTTTTACCACCTTGTTTCTTTCTTCTTCTTTTTTTTCCTTTCATTGGGGGTGGGGATGGGGGATTGCTTATGAGCTACCAAATAAAATTTATGTAAAAAAGCTATTATATGCAATAATAGTGTACTCCATATGTTCTTAGAAAATAAAATAAAATACTATTAGAGTATGAGTGTCAAACTTTCTAATTGTTGTCGTGAGTACAAACATTTGATTCGTTATATATTTTGGAAATGAAATTTAATATAGTTAAAAACTACATAAATTAGTCAAAATCCTAGTCTTTGCCAATCGCCATATTTTTCTTTGTAGCGAAAAAAAAAAAAAAAAAAAAAAAAAAAAAAAAAATATTGTCATTTGTCATGTCTCAATCCCCCACTAAAATGTGATTTAACAATAATGCTTAATAGTTCAAAGGAGTTTCAAAGAATCTAAAAAAAAAGTAAAACATACACAAAATTTTCCATATTTTAGACAACAAGAGTTGATCAAACTCACATTTCAGAAGATGTACTCAGGTTTATTCAATTTTGTCTTGAGGAAAAAATTTCATAGACTTTCTCGACGACGGGAGAATATATCCTACGACCAATTTATATACACGGAGATATATGATAGAGAATACTTTAATTAGTTAGAATAGATTTGTAAATCGCAATCTCGATTACAAAAAGTGAAAACAAAGTCACAAAAGAAAGACAGAGAAACTTAATAAATTAAGAAAAGAAACCTGGCAGTCCTGAAACTGCTTTTAGGATCTTCTTCTTGCATTTATCACAAGAAACATCAACCTTCAGTACAGTCTTTTGCACCATTAGCGACAAGGTTTTTGAAATATCTATTTCGGAATACCTTAATAGAAAAAATTGAGCATGGCTATAATGTCAATTCTAAGAAAGCAATAAACTCATCAACCAACTAAGAGATCAATCTTTGGGTTGTTCACCTTCTTTTGCCTAAGTTCTCCATTATATGCTTAGGTTCTTCCAATTGTCTTCTTCCATCTCAGAAAACAATGCTATTATTTTAATCATTTTTCAACGTTTGATTTTTTCTACTCCGTTTCTTTTTTTAATTTCCCTTTGCATTGACATGTTGTTTCGCCTCGAATGATCTCATCTATGTAACAATCTGTACTCAGCTCCCATTTCCGTATAGTGAACTCAACTACTGATACTATTTCCTCTGTTAGCTTCTTCTTTTTTTTCTTTTTTCCGGTTGAGTTAAATGAATAATGAGAAAATTCATACTTCTGGAAACACTTTTCTCTGACAAATTCTTCCTCTCTTTTTTTTAAAAAAAAATCTTTTTTATTCGAAAATAAAGTGTATTATATATTTTAGCAATGGCAAATTGCCAAAGGGGACATAAACAAGTTCGAAAGAAAAAATGAAGCTGGTTTAATTTGAGGGTTTGCTTTTCTCTCTCAACTTGTATTTCTTGCGAAGCCCTGAATTTAGTCCATATTCGAAAATTGTTTCTTTTCTTTTCTGTTTTATCAACCAAAAAAAAAAATGAGAAGAAAAATCAACTACCTTTAAGTGGGTTTTTTTAAAAAGGCACGCTTTAATTTTGACAATTCTAGATGCCATGAATTGTCACCTTTGATTATTGTATTTTTCATGCTGTTCTGGTCGTCGGTTAAATACCAAAATACATATCAAGGAAATTTAATGAAAAAAGAGAATTATAATTGCCGCCAGGCATTCGGCAAGGCACTGTGACACGATTAGCGTAGTATAATACCAACTCTTTAGTACTTCAAAATGAAGAAGTCAAACCCCATAGCTATTGTTTGACCTATTGAAATTATTTTTCTGTCGTTAACTAATGGAAGAAAGTGGGTTTGCGTAGTAGTGTTTGAACGTAAATGCTTACCCCTATCGAGTTTTTGCAATAAACCAACTCAACTTACCATGGTTGAGTAATTTTATATAGTGAAAATATTCATTAACTAATCATGGGTAAGTGATATCATGTATTTATTCGTTTGATGTAAATATTCGATACAAGTAAATTTTTATCGTAATCGGTAAAATTTATTTATACNATATTAATTACCTATAATTTTGCTACAAAAATATATCTAAAAATATATATTATATATATTTATTGATTTTATGTAAACATCTAAGTCCAAATAAATTTTTACCGTAATTGGTCCATGTACCAACAACTCGTAGTGAGGAGATAGAAGTTTTTTGTAGAATGAGTGGCACGGACTATTGAGCCTAAAATATAGGTTCAAACGCATTTGACAGTGGCAAGAAGCCAACAACATGATTGCTAAACGCATTATGTGGGGATAAGCAAAAGCCTGAAAAGGAGGGGGGAGGCGGAGAGGGGGGGAGGCGGAGAGGGGGCCAAAGGCTTTCTAAGAAAGAAGAAGATGAAAGACTATCTTTTCTTTAGCTCTTTGGTGCGTCACTTTCGTTTCTTCGCTTTTTTCCACTAATCAAAAATTATATATTAATGTGTTATTTTGGCCATAAATATGTGATGACCCAAAATGATCATTTCTTGTTTTAAACGTCAAACTTGTGTTTCAAGACCTTAAAAACTTCCTTTTGTCTCATCTCGGTTTGTGTGCGCAGTCCGGGCGTATATCCGGAAAGCCTTTATGTAAAAATTTGAGAGAAATGCTAATTTTGCCTTTAAAATTAACTTTAAGTTGACTTCGGTCAACATTTTGGGTAAACGAAGTCAGACCCGTGATTTGACGGTCCCGAAGGGTCCGTAGGAAAATATGGGACTTTGGCGTATGCCCGGAATTGAATTCCGAGGTCCCTAACCCGAGAAATGAATTTTTGAAAATTGTTTAACTGAAAATATAATAGTTTTTGAAAATTTAACGATGTTTGAATTTGATGGTATCGGGCCCGTATTTTGGTTCTGGGGCCCGTACAGGTTTAATATGGTATATAAGTTGTGCCTGTAAAATATGGTAAGAAACGGAATTCATATTATATGATTCGGACCCTCGGTTGTGAAAATGGAAACTTAAAGAGTTCTTGAGATTTTTCCTTTATTTTGAAGCTAAACTTGTAGTTCTAGGTGTTATTTTGGCGATTTGATCGCACGAGTAAGTCTGTATGATATTTTTAGACTTGTGTGCATGTTTGGTCTGGAGCCCCGAGGGCCCGGGTGAGTTTCGGATAGGTTTCGGGATGTTTTGGACTTAAGAACTTCTGTTGTTTTGCTGCTTCGGTTATTCTGAGATTTTGTTCTTCGCGTTCGCGATGCAGCTCACGCGAACGCAAAGTACAAGCTGGGCTGGGGAAGGGTTTCTTCTACGCGAACACGAGGCCTAGGTCGCCAACGCGGAGCACTGGGGGGATTGCTCTTAGCAAACGCGACTGGCCACACGCGAACGCGTAGTGTAATGGAGGTGGTTGGGGGAGTCCTGGAGTTATTCTTCGCGAACGCGGTCCCAGGCTCGCGAACGAGATGGTCAGGGGGGACAGACCATCGCGAACGCAAGAAGCTCATCGCTAACGCGTATGCTCTTCTAGCCACAAGTATCGCGAACGCGAAGAAGGTCTGCCCAGCGAATTAAAAACAGAACCTAGGTCGGGATTTCTTCAAAATTTCATATCTCCTTCCCTAGAATCTGACCTTGGTCGATTTTTGAAGAGAAATTTCAATACCAAATCATAGGTATGTGTTCTTAAACTCATTTCTTTCATTTTTCATTAACACCCATTAGATTTCTAGGCCTAAATCTTATTCTTTAAGGGTAGAAATTATGGATTTTAGGAGAATTGAGGATTTTACAAATTTGGGGATTTAGACCTCGATTTGGGGAAGGATTCCGAAACTAATTGCATATTTGGGATCATGGGTGAATGGGTGAACGAGTTTTGGTTCAAACCTCGAGTTTTGACCAAGCGGGCCCGGGATCGGGTTTTGACCTTTTCGAAAGAATGTTGGAAAATCTGTAATTTTTCATTTGAATTGGTTTCTTGAGCTTCAATTAATGTTAGTAAGTTAATATTGGCTAGATACAATTGGATTGAAGTGGAATCAAAAAGAAAAGCGGTATTTGAGGCTTGAGTTTGGACGTGGAATCCGAGGTAAGTGTTTGGTCTAACCTTAGCTTGATGGAATATGTGTTGTGTCTTATTTGTTATATGTTAGTGTCGAGTACGACGTATAGGTGAGGTGACGAGTATCTATATGTTGGTGTCAAGCATGCCCGTGAGTCTTATACTAAGGTTGTTGCGATTTTATTATGTTTTGTTCATGCTTAAATTGATGATTAGCACTGTAGAACCAGACTTATGATAAATTCTTGGTAATTGATCATTATCGAGTATTGGCTAATCGGAGCCAACCTTACACCACTACGAAGTGGCGAGAGCGGTCGAAGCAGCTTTTACCCGAGATGGTCGGGATCGAATCCACAGGGAGCTAGAAGTGGGAATTGGAATCCTATCTAAACTAGAGATGTGTACTGCTCTTAATTACTCTTCCAATCATCTTTTGGTTGGTTAGTACTTCTAATATTTATGATAATGATAAGCTAACTTAAACTAAGAATGATTGCTTGTAGGGTTTTCCAATTAGTTAAAGAGGCACTAGGGAAGTGACTTTCTCCTAGGTGAATACTTGACGGGATCTAAAGCCTAAGACAAAGACGTTATGTTGGGGATTGTGATATAGCCAATGTACGGAATTACTCACTCTATACCTCTCGGTAGCTTGAGTGACTTTGCCATACTTAACTTTCTCAAGACCAATTGGGTGCCAAAATTGTACAAGCAATATAGGCTCAAGTCGGGTGTTACTATCTCTAGGTTTAACCATTTAATTGGGACTATCAATCTCTTGATTACACCTCAATTCCTTGTCGGACTGATTTTCCTAGACTCAAGCTCTCTTTCTTAAGAAGAGCGCAAGTCAAATAGGCACAAATTAGTATTTGCAACTACTAATTCAACATGAAAAACACAAAATCAGTACAAATATCAACTACCCATAAACATCTAAGCCTTAAATCAAAAGATCCATCAAATACCCACACTAAGGTTGAGCTACAACCCTAGCCAATAGGTTTAGCTACTCATAATAATAAAAGAAAATAGATAAATAGATGAAGAATAACTCATATGATTTAATTACAAACTAAGATAAAAAAGATTCAGTTTTAATCTAGCTACAAATTACTCAAAATAGCCTAATACAGCCGTTCACGTGCTCTGGTCTTTCACAGATTATCAAAGATGCCCTAAAAATGTGAAAAGAAAGTATTATACTAGGCCAAATTTTCTGGACTAAAATACCCTTGGCGAGGTAGTGCGGTCCGCAAAAATTGCACCGCGGACCGCAATGAGGCTTTTTGGCTTGATTAATCATTCTCTGAATCTGGACACCGCGGGCCGCATAAAATGCACCGCGGCCGTGGTGGCTTCACTACGGTTCGCACAAAAAGGACCGCGAACCGCATTGGCCTTAATCTCCAAACTTCCAACTCTCTGAACCCCCATCATTGCGGACCGCACAAACTCGATTGCGGCTGTGTTGAGGCCACTGCAGTCCGCACAAAATTGTTTGCGGCCGCAGTGCTTGAATTTCCAAAATATGCACCTCTCTGAATCTCCTAACTGCGGACCGCACTAAATGGAATGCGGCCGCAGTGGATCTGTTGCAACTATGCTTGCACTTGTTCTTGGTACTTGTGCATGTTTCACTCCTTTTTGAGCTGGTTTTGACTAATTGCCACCTTTTTTTACCAAACCCTGCAAACAAGTACAACATGTAAGCCTTTGGGACTATTTTGTATACATTTTTAATCAAAACTCAAGTAAAAAGGAGTGTAAAATAAACTATAATCCCTAGTTATCAACTCTCCCAAACTTAAGCTTTTGCTTGTCCTTAAGGAAACAAAATAAGACCCACCTCTTAAGAGTAAATCCAAGAAAA